GGAGAATGACTCTGGAACGAGAATTCCAGAGTCTGGGATCTTGGGGTCTCAGGGGCCTATGGATAGAAGAATTCAAGGGGCAGCAGATCACAGGGAATATCACACTAGAGAGATTTGAGTTCAAAGAAATCAGAATTGAGGATGCTGGGGTCCTGGGGCACTTCAAATCTCACTCTGATATGAAGGGACCAAGATCTCAGGTCTGGGATAATCCCAATGCTGTGTAGACTTTAGCCCTGAATTTGAAAGGTCAGTGGCACCTTGGGGTCACTCTAGGCTAGGGAGCAAGGGGACAGAGGTCAGGGGTGTCATGAACACCCCATCCTCTGTCTGTGGGTACAAAGAAGCCGAAGATTCCAGGACACTCTGGGGCTTACAATCTAAGTCCAAGAGGGCTATCTGAGGATATGGTACCAGTGTCTTGGGTCCTGAGGTGTTGGTGACCTTCAGTCCTAATCTGAAAGTACTAGGCACCTCAGCGTCCTATATATGAGATTCAAAGCTCCTGGAAACATTGGCTGGGGAGGTTGGGGTGAGGGGTGGGATGTCTTCAGCGGTCTTTGATCTCTGGCTCCCAGAGTATCTTCGAATCTGATGTCTGGATTGGGGGATGGAGGTGGGGTGTGGGGAAGAAGTGAGGCTATGAGGTGGGTCTCCCAAGCCATTTTGGTCAGAGAACATCTGTTTGAGCATATCCTAGAACCCAGGGCGTCTTAAGAGGGCTTGGTGTCTTAGGGGTCCTAGGGCTAGAACACCTCAGATATGGGTGCCCCAGGTTTTAGATGAGCATTCAGGAACATTTGGGGGTGATTCTGGGTCCTGTGATCTCAAGATCTGGGAGTAATTGTATACAGGCAGGGTCAGGTATTCGAAACTCCTGACTAGTTCTGGGGATGTAATCTGCAGGTTTTCAGGGTTCAGGGCCCTGCCTCTGTCAGGGTCCTGTGTGCCCTGAGGTGTAGAGCCTGGGGACGACTGGAGTCGCCTCAGTCTAGGTCATGGGGGGAGGGGCACAGCAGGATGAGGATGCCAGAACTCAGGATGCCTGGGACCTCTTAGGCAGACAGCTCAATGAAGCTGGGCCTGGGATCCCTGAATCCTAGATTTGGAGTCCAAGTTCCAGGTCTGGGGTCTCTCAATCTAAACTCGAGCTTCAAGTTCCAGGTGTGCCTAAGTTTAGATTTGGGTTCCGAACAGAGCCCAGGGGTCCTGGACCCTCAATTCTGAGTCCACCAGGCCAGCCTCACCGCACGGCCTCCTCGTGGCGACCTCCGCAGCCCGCGCAGCCGCATCG